CTTCAGGGAAGCTCTCTTGTTCTCAGGCTCTAAATAACAGTCTCGTACTCCCTCAGCCTCTGCTTCCTTTTCATAATATTTATCCCTCTTGTTTAGTGTCTGCTTCTCCAGCAGCCAGTAAATTCCGAGACAGCAGGCTGGCATCTCTTTTGTTCTGTGCTGTATTCTCGGCGCCTAGCAAGAAGTCTGCTACACAGGAGGCACCCGAGACATATGTATGGAATGGAGAAAGTCAGGAGAGGCCACTCATGTAGGGCTCCTGGTTCCAACTGGGTCCAGAACCGGGGCCTTGTGCTGAAAAAGAAGTAGCACCTCAAGCTTCCTCTGCACGCCGTGCCCAGCATGCAGGTAACAGGCACTGAGTGAGTGGACCTGCCTCCCACCTCCACACAGATCTTCCATGTTTCCGGTGACACGCTATTCCCAGACCATAGAGCTGTGTGTGCAGCACACTATTTCTGCGTCTCTAGGTTTTGCTCCTCTTTCCTGCCCAGATATTTTCTTGGGAGGCCCAGTCCTTCCCTGAGCACAGAGAAGGATCCCTACAGTTCTGTTCTTCTGGTGCCTTCTGACTCACAATGCCATAGTGGTGCATGCCTCTGACATATTAACGGCAATTTCTGACAGTGGGGAGCTGACTGGTACTTTCCTGATAAATGGAGCCAAACAAGTCTTAAGCATTGATATGGCTGTTATTGCCAACAAGATTAGGTTCTCAGCCTAGTCCCCACCCCATTCCCCTTGCCAGTCCCCAGAATGTGCTTCCAAGCCACTAACTCCGGTCATCAAAGAGGATAGGTACTCTGAGAATGCAAATTCAATATATTATTAACTGAAACTAAATATGACTAAAGGAATAATTCTCCCAGGAAAAGCAACATGTGTTGAATTCCAAAGTAAAATAACACTTTGGATTATCTTCTGCTCTTCTCCCTGGTATGCAAAGCAGGCAGTAGGCTTAGCGCGCTAGACGCTGTCTCAAGGTCACCGGCAAGTTCTTGTGATTAGAAATGGATGCAGAGGCAGCTAGAAGGTGAGGCCCTGCCCAAGTGCCCCAGGCGGGTCTGTGGCTTCTCTACAGCGGAGGATCTCTTCATTCTCATGGAAAAACATATACCTATTGGTGCCATGGAAGGACATACATGGGTGCCAGTGAACCACAGTCTGCCCTGGGGCTGGGAGATGGGGTTTAAGATCTCCCCAAGCCACTTTTGAAGCCCTTAAAGAGCCAATGAACCAGAGCCCTGAAGCAGGCCACTTCTGCCCAGGGCTGTTGGAAAACTCTGCAAGTGTCACCTGAAGTGCTGTCCTAAACTCTGGGCCAGGCCCTGCAGCCCTGGAGCCTGGGCTGCTGCCCTCTGCTCTGACCTCAGGGCCTTCGCAGACCCATGGGGCTCCACTCTGTCATCCAAATGTGCTTCTCAAGAACAGAATTGCAATCCAGAGCAGAATGGCGATTGAAGAAGCAGTTATTAGAATTTCATTGTGGTTTACATTTTCCAAACACATTTTATATTTAATTCATTTCATCTCTAGTTGCCTCCTTTTCAGCAGAAGACGATACTAAGTCTCATAGTGACTTGCCCAAGGTCACGTTTTTAGTAAGCAGCAGTGCTGGGAGTTGACAAAACGCGTGTCATGCGGCAAAGTCGTGTGGCAGCTGATGGTTGCCTTTGGAAAAGGGGACAGCAGGGGCCTGGGTCTGGAGACCCCCTTGCTGGGGCCTTCTCTGCCCCGGTTTGTTCTGGCTGCTCTCTAGCCTTAGGTGTCAGCTAATGACTGGTACACTCCCTTTGGCACTTCTGTTGTGAGAAATGACCTACTGCCAGTTTTAAAAAGGGCCCTGGGCCTCCTGGAACACTATCATTCTCTGAAAATGACACGCTGCCCCCACCCCCCGCCATGGAATTCACAGATAGCAGGAAATTCAAGCATGTTCTCTTTCTGTTTCTAGGGCTTAGTGACTGAGATAAGCCAACAGGCAGCACAGCTCCCCACCTTTTCTGACGGAGGTTATGTTGCAGAGCTGGGCTAAGAATGGTGGCTGGCCATCAGGATGAAATGGGTAGAGCTGGAGCTGGTTATAAGCAATGGCAGAGGGACCTTATTGCTTCAGATTTGGGCAAGAGCAGGTCCAGCCTAACTAGACACTAATGATCACTGAGTTCCAGGATGCCTGCTGACTCTGCTATGTTGCTCCTACCTAGTTCAGTGCCTGGAGCCTATTAAGTATCCAATTCTGGAATACATTGTACCTGAGCCTTTGCTGAATATGGACTAATTGCTTCTAGTTGGACGGGGACATTAGAGGCTCCGGACCTGGAGCCCACCACATCCGCTGTAATCAGACACGTACTGAGGGGGTCACCTGTCCTCAGGAAGTCAGACTTAGGTCGGAAGTCACCAGACAACAATATAAGGATCTGGATATAATATGCCACAGTGCAGGGGTCTAAAGAAATCTCGGTACCCCCAGGTAGGGCTGTACTCAGAAACAACATATCCAAAGAGATGCTAGTCAGGACCCCAGGCAGGTAGCAGGGATCCAGGAAAATGGTTTTTCAGGAAGAGGGCTCCAAAAACTGGGCTGGGGCCCTCAGTGTGGTAGGAAGGGGGACTTGCAAGGACAAGACAGAGTCTGCATACTATGTAAGCCCAAGGAGATCAAGGCAGGGCACATGGCGGGTGATCAGAGCTGCTGCTAGACCAGTGACAGACTCCAGGCCAGGTGAACACGGTACTGAGATGGGCCGAGATGTCTGGCTTAATTTCATGCCACTACTGAGGTCTGGAGTGAGGTAGAACCTATGGGTGGGATTACAGGTATGACATCAAGGGGCAAGGACGGCTTCAGAGACGGGTCCAGGGAGGGCTTGGCTAAGGCCTCATTTCTGCCCATAGAGTTTACAAAGGCTTGTGTCTGTCTAGGGCAGATGGCCTCCATGGGGTGGTTTTTATGAAAGCGAAAAAAACATGTTGGCATCTCCCAAGGAGCACAAATAGAAGAGGCTGGAGCCTGCAGGTCCTGGGTGCGGGGGCAGGAGCTCACGGGTACATTCCATGGGAGTCAAGCAAGTGCTAGGTCAGCTGCCACTCTGTTACCAGCCCCCTGCACTCCACTCTCTTCAGGCAGGTCCTTGCCCTTGGAGTTTGTGGTTTAGGCAGGGAAAGAAACCGTGCTTTCAGTGGACTTCAGAACAAGCACAGAGTGGGCTCTGTACAGACAAGCCCAGACGCAATCACTAAAGAGGCGCCACGTTTTGGGGGAAGTGCGTTGGTAATGGAAGGGCAAAGTTTCCCAGAGTGGGAGAAGAGTGACAGGCCAGAAAGTCCCCAAAGGGTTTTGTACAGTCTCAAAAAGGAAAAAGAGGCAAAGGGTTGAGGAAAAAACATGTGTCTTCAGTGGAGTCATCTTCATAGCATTTCTGTTGTCTGTCGTCTGAGACCTCATCTCATGCACTGACTTCCACTCAGAGCCTGTTTGAAGCAGAGATTGCTTATTTTCCACTGGATTGGAGGGAAATGACAATTCCCACTGGAGCATTCCCCTGAGCAGGTGGGAGGACACTGCTGTGGAATTGATCCCTTATGCATTGCAGGCTTCCCTTCTGCAGCCCAGGGGCAGGCAGGGGTGATGGTGGGGCAGCCCAGGGGCTATACCACTCCAGAAGGCTAAAGATGGGGATGGGTGTGGGATAGGCCCCTGGGATGACCCTCTTCTCCTCTGATGGCCAAAGAGGCCCAAAAGGTTGCTGAGCCTTTGCTCACTCTGGTCCTCCCCCAGCCTCCTGCCCAGCAGCATCCCCAGGTCCTGGGGTGTCAGGGATGCCTACAGGCCCCAAATGCTTAGAGCTCCCAGAAGGCTAGCATCTTGATCGCTCCGCTGGGCTCCTGGCAATGTGGGATTTTGCTGCTTGACCACAGGTGGGATCCTACACCAGGTTGGATGGGCTCCCTGCCCAAGGCTAGACCAGTTCATTAGGCAGAATCCAGGGGACCCCGACTCTCACCACAATGGAAACCCACTCCTGGGCTCTTCTCGAACGCCTCCTAAGGGAGCCCCCACTCCCATGTCCTCCTTCAACCTCCTGTCTCCTCTAACACACTTGCTTCTTTCTCCTCTTGTTTCTCTATTTTTCTTGCCGAATACGTGTACACAAAAACCATTAAATAATTTTCACTGTGTTTGCCTCTAGATACAAAGAGAGTCTTAGCCTCTAGGCCTGGAAGAATCAGTGAAGGGCAGGGGAGGGCACGTTAAACTGGAGCTTGAGATCTTGGCCCAGCTCACCTCAGCTATCAAATGGCTGGAGTAAGGCCCCAGCGTGTAACTCCCAAGGCTTCATGGAATTGGCAAGTCCATGGACCTCAGAAGGTTATGGAAGTGCAGACGCCATTGCTATTGGATTCAGTTATCATTATCCAGCACACCCCACCCATGCAAAGCCAGGCCTGCGGTCTCCCCTGCATCTTCCCCATTCCTGGGTCCCATCAGCTTCACCCATCATTTCTAAATGGCCCCCTCTTCCTTCCTGCACCTGGAATGTCTCTTCCCAGGGAGGTGACATCGATGAGAATCATGGTCTTGGAAACTAAAGAATAACCCAAGACCAAACCAAATCAAAACACTCCACCACGCCCTGAAAAGTACACTATATTTCTGTCCTTCACAGATTCCACTGTTACCACGGCCGGACCAGGGCTAACAGGTCTATCGTGACAGGTCTCCAAGCTATGCATGGCCTTCCGTCCTGGCACACTCTTGGTTAGCTCCTGTCGCCCACCCCAGTTCCTTGACCTTCTTCTCACCCTCTAAGGCAGGACCCCTGAGAGTTCATGGGAGAGATGCTCTTAGACAAGCCCTGACTTCCCTGATGGGGAGCAAATGTGAATCCATGTAAGTGCTGCTGCCCTTGAGTCTCCACTCCGTGATGGCCTCTCCTCTGGCTTCCCCCCAGCCCTCCTACTTCAGAGCACCAGGACACCAGCCATCCCACCACTTTGTTCTCATGTGTGTTTATTGAGCGCCCACGGAGTCTGTGGTACTATGCTCAGGGTTCAGAGCCACAGTCCAGTCAAAAGGAGACCAGAGCTAGTACAGAGAATGTTTCATAGCTGCTTAACATCTGGTAAGGGGCGGGGAAGGGGCGAACTAATCACAAAACAAATTCCTATTCGAAAGCAACAGAATCTCCTCTGAGAGTAATATATATTCTAGGCACACGCGCACGCACGCACGCACACGCCCCTCTGAGTGAACACCTAAGTATACCCACTTGGTTGTATATGCATGCATATACAGGTATTTGTGGGTAAATATGGACTATGCTGCTCACACTCACACATGCACGCACACACACACCACCGCACACACAGATAATCTGGCTTATGCTATCAAAGATGCTATGTCTCCAGGTTCTAGTGGAAGCAATCTGTCCTAGACACCCGCAGCATGCAAAACTCAGAAGACCCGGAGAGTCACAGTTAAGGAGGAGACAGGGAGACGCGAATACGTTTCCACCCTCGGGGCCCAGCCACAGCTCGCGAGGTCGCTCTTTGCTGGCAACGCAAAGCCTTCATGAAGGGCTCCCAGGGCAGAGCGGAGGAGCTGGAGGCCTTCTGTCCAGTGGCGGAGCCCACAGGAGCCCTGGGGAGTTCACCAATCTTCAAGGCAGAGTTGAAAACTCTGGTTTTCAAGTGTGTAGTCCTGCAAACAGTATTCTTTGGGACGGCACGGCAGATCGAGGTGAGAGTTCCTTTTCTCGTTGCTCTCTGCAGCTTCCCACGTGTGCTAACGCATTTTGTAGTCATTAGATACGGATGTTTCACACAGCTGTCCCTTAAAATCCAAGTCTACTGTGAAATCGAGGTCTCGCTGCAAGGCAAAGAGAGAGCGAAGGGTCAGGCAGCCATCTGGGTATGAAGCCACAGCCCTACTCCCTGGCACCGCCTGCTCCTGGCATCGCCTGTTCCTGGCACCACACGGATGGGTGGCACCAGTGTCTTAAGGCTTTCTGGCTAAAGGGTTCCCCTGAAGAGCGCCCAGGAATCCATTCTGCTGCCTCCTTGTCCGCACAGGAAGTTCTTCCATTTCTCCCTAAATCCTTCCTGCTTTAATTTAAAAAGTTCCAAGTTTGCCCTGGGAGTAAAGCAATTGGGGTGATTGAGTTCTGTGAGGTGACCCTCAGAGCATTCTGCAGACCCTTTTAGCACACATGCCCACACCCGGGGCTGCCCAGAAAGAGCCAGCCGGTCTCCCCGCCACCAAGCCAGGGGAAGAAATGCGCGCCAAATATCCTGCAGGCCACCAGGAGCTTGTCTCCTGGCCCAGCTCATGCTAAATGAGGGAGGACCCATTGATTCGAAAGCCACTCATGGGAAGAGCTGGAAGCTGTCTTCAAAGCTGAGACAGTCCAGAATCAGACCCAGGGAAAACCTCTACTTGCTGAGTTTTGAGAGGTCAAGCCTGTGTCCCTCAATTAGGCCTAGTCATGTCCACATGTGGCTACTGACTGCCTCCTTCAGTAAGTTTCTGACTGTGCAGGAGACACTTAAGAACCCCGGCAACTGGGTCCTAGCAAGCCGGCTCCGTGGGTTCCTTCTCCCCTGTGTCTCTGGTCCCCCTCTGTGACACAGGTGGCCTTGGCACTTACCACATTTTTGGCATTTGGCTTCATGGATATGGTCCCGTAGATTTCCTCCCCCCTCCGGACAGTGAGGTAATCTTCCAAGTAGAAGACAGTCTGCTTCCAGTGGGTGTAGGGAGCGTCAGGGGCTGAGGGTGAAAGAACATGGGAGGTGGGAAGAAGGAGTCAGGGAAGATGTCTCCGACGGGCTGAGGCTGGGACCCTGCATAGAAGTTGCTGGGCTTCCCGGGGGACTCACGGAAACCACCTGCCCCAGCATCTTGTTGGGTCAGGGACATAGCCCTTGTAGCCTGGCTCTGCGCCCCCACCAGAACTCCCACTCAGCCCCAGTGGCCTCTCCTCCCATCACGGCTCCATCCCCTCATGCTGATGGCTGATCTTAGCTGGGGATCAGCAGACAACCTGATACTACAAGTTCACAACAAGGGATGGATGATGAATGCCCTGTCACCAACTAAACGCGTGGATGTAAATGCATCTGAAAATGCTGCTGTTTTTAATTAGTTCAATAGAGGGAAGATCTTCAGACAGTGTGGGGAAGAGATTTGTAGAGTAGGCCCTCCTATCTCCCCTTGAATGACACCCTTCATGCAAACACCACAGCTAAGCCAGTTTCCCCAGATGCACCGATAAGGCAGGTACTTGCTCCTCAATCTTACAAACAGCTTTCCCTGCTGAGCACATGTAGTGGCTCACAGCTGTAATCCCAGCTACTCAGGAGGCTGAGGCAGGAGGACTGCTTGAGCCCAGAAGTTCAAGACCAGCCTGGGCAACATAATGAGAAAACTGGCCGAGTGTGGGAGCACACATCTGTGGTCCCAGCTACTCGGGAGGCTGAGGCAGGAGGATCAGTTGAGCCTGAGAGTTCAAGGTTGCAGTGAGCTATGACTATACCACTGCACTCCAGCCTGGGCATCAGAGTGAGACTCTTGTCCCCCCCCCCAAAAAAAAAACAAGAAACACTTTCATTGCCTGCTTCTCTGTGCAAGGGGAACTATACCTAGCACCTGGGCTTGGGCCTGCCGTAGGGTTTCAGGTGTGTCTTCCTAACTGAATCAGAAAGAAATGAGCATAGCCCTAACGCTGGCCCACAGCTCACTTATCCTGCATGACTCAAAGCCACAGTGACACTTGCACCTCCCCTGTATCTGCCACTGAGTCTCCTCCCATCCCTCTCAGCACAGGACACATTCTCCAGCTAAATGTGACGGGTTCTGCCTCATAGGCCATTGTCCTTGCCAGCGGTGGTCTCTGAAACTCCCCCTCCCTCCTCTCCAGCCTCTCTTCCTCATCCTTCCTCTGGGAAGCCTTGCCTGACCCGCGAAACCTGGATTGAGGGCTCCCATGGCACCCTGAGCTTCTGTTATTGCAGTGTCTGTCACACAAGATAAATGCCTTCCCTCCACCCCCACTTGTCTGCATCCTCCATGGACTGCAAGCTCCATGAGGGCAGGGACCAGGCAAGCCTTGCTTCCTTAGTGCCTACCTCGGTGCTTGGTAGATCTACAAGTATTGAATACATGAGTAATGACAAGAACCCGAAGAGCAAGCGTCTGTGATGCTTCAACGTACGCGTACGTGTCTAATTATACTGGGGGCCTTTGGAATCTACAGATTGCAGATGAACCAATTTTGTTATAGGAAGTTCCTTTTGGTTTGGGCTGTTGCATTCCTCTACCAGGATTTCCTCTTTTTTTTTTTTGAACCAATGATAAAAATGAGAAGACTGGGGATCAGATAAGGGTCTTCAAAACACTTCAAAAGCTGTCACATGGAAAGACTTACATGTGGCCTTGGCTTTGGGGGCAGAACAAAGGCAGAGCTAGGAATCATTAGAAGGCAGATTTTTAATTAACCAAGAAGAATTAGAGCCGTCCCACAATCGTATGAGTCACCTGAGGTCCACCCTGGCAGGTGTTCACACAGCACCGACTGGGGTTTATCATGACTCAGACCAGGTGACCTCTAAGATCTTTCAAAATCCCAAGGTCTATTTTAATGGCACTGAAGAGTCTGTCCTTCTCTGCCCTTTGCAACAAACTGGCTTGATCAAATGTCAGTGGTTTGGAGAGAGGCTCAAGTAGCCCTCCATGCGTGCGTTTGGGAAATCGATGCAAACTCGAGGTCATGGGGAGCAAGCGCAGCCTGCACATTTGGAAGGGAAAGAGGATCATGAACGTTGGATCTGCGCCTTTCAGACCCTGCCCGGGTTCCCAAACACATCCAGCCTTCTGGCCGCCAGGGCACGCTGCTGTCTGCGGGCAATGTCCACCTGCTCCCAACAACCTTCTCTGCCAACTACCTCTAAATAATCAAAAGATAGTGCCTGGTTTTGTGTGGAGACTGTCAGTGTATGACTGACAGCACTCTCGCCCCCACTTCCACCTACACCTGCTCAGACAGGTGTCTCTCTCCTGTTCCTAAAGACCTTCAGGCAAGGGAATTCAAACAGCCTCCTTCTGTCACCAAATCCGATGCCTTATGAGACCCCCAGAGACTTCCTGGCCCAGATTTGCCAACCATCGGTCTGTCTCTGATGGTAGTCCCCAAATCACGCCAGCTTTGAGTTGGAGGAAGATGATTTTTTTCCTTGATGTCAACATCAAAGGGTTAAGAACATCCATAAACATTTCATTTCCATGATGGGCCCACCAGCTATGGACTAATTGTCTAAACCAATTTTCCCAATCCTACTTGTCCATCAAAGTGCCCAGGAGAAACTTAGTAAAAGTCAATGTTTTGATTCTATTCCAAGAGATTTGAAGTCAGTAGTTCTAGGGGTCGGGGAGGGGCATGCAATGTAGACACACAGCCATGGCTGAGTCGCTGTGCATCTCCTGACCTCTTTTGGCAAGGCAGAGTGGGAAACATGTTTAATTAGGTGATGATAGGCCCAGTGTTCAGTCTCTGCTTCGCCACTGACTTGCGCTGTGACCAGGGGCTCCTTTTCTACATCTGCAGAATATGGGTCACAATATTTATCTCCTGAGGTATTGTGAGGATGAAATGAGATGAGGAGGGAAAAGCATCATATACTAAGCGTGACCAAAACTCCTGTTCTGCCCAGGACAGATCCAGTTTGCATCTGTTTTCCTGGCATAATAATTACCAGCTCTCCCCTTCACCTGCAGGCATGTCCTTAAGGGAAAGATAAGTTACATGGCCACCCTACCTGAAACCTATTAGGCCAATGTTAGGGACTTCCTAGCCCATTGTATCAGGCAATTCTCCGGTCATTACAGTGTATATGATTTTATTTGTCTATCAACTATGGCTCTGGTCTACAAAGGTATGCCGCCTCTCTAGTGGTAGAGAATGTCCTGGAAAATATCCAGAATGTCACCGTGTACAAGGGTGAGCACTCAACGAAAGGTTATGGACAACATCTAGAGTTTTCCTTGTCAGGGAGCAAGGCTTTTCCTTCCCCCACCCCACCCCAATCTGGAAAAACTAGGGCTTGCACCCAGGCTTGCTTCCTCTGGGGCTCCTGCCCTTCCACCCACTACCTGGCTTTCCTGGATTACACAGTAGCCCCAGGGGCCCCAGTTCCCACTTCTACCCCCACCCCACTGAGGATGTGTTGGGGAGGGGCTGCCATGCCCACTGGCTGCCACAGCCTAGAACCCTGGGTATCTGTGCCTATTTGCAACAGCTTCTGCCTGGAGCTGCAGGGACGTCAGAGTCATTAGAAGGGATCATTTTTCAGGCTGTGCGGTATGGGATGTGCTTCTAAGTGGCCCGCAGAGCGGGGCTACCTCTGCGCTGAGACAGAAAACTCAGTTGGGGGTTGATAAGGAGGGGCCACACACAGCAGGCTACACTTTGCATCAAGTCCAGGAACAGCTGAGACCAAAGAATACCTTGTTTAGGCACATGCATCCATGCGATAAAACTTTTCAGAAATAGCAAGGGGATAAGGATCACAAAATTCAGGGTAATGTTCGTCTAGAGGCGATACGGGAGGTGGGATGGGGTGAGGCATCCAGGAAGATGCAGAGGTGTTGGCGGCATTTCAGTCATTGAGTCAGGGCATGGCTCGAATTAATAAGTGCAAGCAAATTAATGCAAATATGCATTCATTTATTTACACTTAATTATAATCATATTACCGTTATTACCATTGTCTTTCTAGTTAATATTTATATTTAAATGAACAACAATTTATATTTATTTCTAATATTAACTAATGTAGTACCTCCTAATAGTAATACTAATAAATTTATTTATTTACTAGTATTTATTGATTTTATTAGATTTATTATTTTATTCTAGTTACTAATTACATTCTTTTTTTAAATTTTTTAATTTTTTTCTTATTTTTTTATTTTTATTTTTATTGCATTTTAGGTTTTGGGCTACATGTGAAGAACATGAAAGATTGTTGCATAGGTACACACATGGCAGTGTGATTTGCTGCCTTCCTTCCCTTCACCTATATCTGGCATTTCTCCCCTTGCTATCTCTCCCCAACTCCCCCCCCCCCCCTGTCCCCCCCCTATTTCCCCCCAACTGACCCCAGTGTGTAGTGCTCCCCTCCCTGTGTCCATGTGTTCTCATTGTTCAACACCCGCCTATGAGTGAGAACATTCAGTGTTTGATCTTCTGCTCTTGTGTCAGTTTGCTGAGAATGATGGTTTCCAGGTTCATCCATGTCCCTACCAAGGACACAAACTCATCATTTTTGATGGCTGCATAATATTCCATGGTGTATATGTGCCACATTTTCCCTGTCCAGTCTATCATTGATGGGCATTTGGGTTGGACTATTTACATTCTAATTAATAGAAATTAATTTATATTCTAGTTACTGAGTTACATGGTGAGTTCATGGATATTCATTATGTTAACATATATTAATATATATTAGCAAAAAGTGAACCATACATGGTCCAATAATGACATATGTCATGAGGCAAGAATTAGGATTAATCTAAGTCTGTGGATCTGAGATTCATAAAAACAGAAAGGGTGACCCTGTCAGTTGTCAGAGTATAGACGGTCTGAGTATACCCCACTGCTAACCCACATGAACTGGAAAGAAGTTCGCTACCTGCTAGAAAAAGAGTCCCACGCTGACATACAAAGGTGGCTGAGAAAGCAACTCAACAAACTATTCCCCCACCCCAGTGCTAGCCGTATGGGCATGTGCCAAGAAAAGAGATTTAAGTCAGCCAGAAAGCAGGGTCGTACGCCTGAGTGAGGAGACGGAATAGCCTTTCCAGAAGAAAGTCAACATTGGTCAAATTCTCGCCTTCTGGTTCAGGGCAGTCTTGCACAGAGGCAGTGGTCCTCAAGCTGGAGCATGCATTGCAATCAGTTGAAGGTCTTGTTAAGATACAGACTGCTGGTCCCCACCCCCAGAGTTTCTGATTCAGTAGGTCCAAGGTGAGGCCCAATAATTTGCAATTCTAACCATTTCCCAGGTGATACTGATGTTACCCGTCCAGGGACCACACTTTGAAAACCACTTCTTTAAAGAAGTTCTGCATGGCAAACTGGAGACTGTGGGACCTCCAAATGCCTTTCAGAACCTAGGTTTGTGGAACTCTGTGCAAAGGGAGGAGGTATAACACTATAATTGCGAAAAGACAGAGGAGCAGGCTCACAGCTGGGTTTAGATCCATAATCTTTGAACCACGTGGGACTGCGGTGGGGGTGTGACCCAAGACTAGGGAGGAAAGCCACCGGGTTAGAGCCTTCAGCACTCAGGGCAAATCCTCACCATCTTTCAGGCAGCCCAGAGCTGATGTCTTGATTGTGGACGTGAGCTTAACCCATGCTCCTCCATGTGGGGCCATGAAGAATGTCATCCCTGCCACCACAAGGCCAGGGATCCATCTCTAGACAGGGTCCAGAAGGCTCTCTGCTTGACCTTGGGGACTAGAAATATTAATAGATCATCTCAAGGAAAATAAAACCCTGGCTGAGAGCTGCAGGACTGGAGCCTGGGCTTTGGAAACTCAGAATTTCTTTTCCAGAGTATCCTTGTCCACTGACTTTCTCATCACCTACAGCAGGGCAGGCCGTGGATTAATCATCCTGGGGATGGAATAGGCAGATGTGACTTCATCTCTAGCTTCCAATCACAGCCACTGTCCCCAAGAAGGCTCCTCCCCAGCTCCCTCACTACCCCCACTCTCAGTATCGCTAGGCACAGTCTTCCCAATCCTTCAAGATCAAAGCAAAACCTGCCTCCCCTGTCCTGGCTGCGCCTGCCCACTGGGAAGAATTGCACTGGCCCTGTGAGGAGGGCAGCAGCTGACAATCACCCAGGGCAGGAAAGCACCAGCACTGCCTGGCTGACAGAGACCAGAAGACTCCTCTCAGTATTCAGGAGGCACTAGGTGTGGGAGAAGCCTTTCTGTGAAGAGATTAGTTTCTTGCCCTCTCTTTCCATAGGTAAAGGAGAATCATTGAGATCAGCCTGGGCAATGAAGCAAGACCCCATCTCTACAACATGTTAAAAATTAGCCAGGCCTGGTGGCATGTGCCTGTAGTCCCAGCTACATGGGTGGCTGAGGCAGGAGGATTGCTTGAGCCCAGGAGGTCAAGGCTGCAGCGAGCTATGATTGCGCCACTGCACTCCAGCCTGGGAGACAGAGTGAGACCTTGTCTCTGAGAAAAAAATAAAAGCATCATTGTCATCATGGCTTCTGGAAGCAAAGAATCATGTCCTCGACTTCTGGTAGAACTCACCTCCCCACTCCCCCTACTAGACAAGCAATTACTCACCTACTCACCCCCTGATGCCATGCTCCCAATTCCCAAGAAGACTCAATAGGAACACCTTCCCGAGGGCAGGGGTCATATCATCATACGCTTCTTCAACAGCGATTTGTTTAGAACTATGCTTTAGAAGCCAGGAATGCGGAGATCACTGAGATGTAATTCCCTACTCATGCAGGAGACCGACGGTTACAAGACAGAGTGAGAGTGCTGAATAAATAATGGCATGGCCTGTGTGGTTGTTTAAAAAAAGAAACTAGGTATCTCTGTGAGGCTATAAGGGTATCACCAAGATAAGCTTGTTAAATAAAGAAAAGGTAGCTGAGGGCAGTGTGGAAGGTAGGATCAACCTAAGTTTTTTAAAAAAGCTGCAGTTTTGACATTGTACTATGCTTACATAAGATCCCCTCAATGGGGCAGCAGGGAAAAGGGTTCACACAACTCTGTGTACTATTTTTACAACTTCCTGGGAGTCTATAATTATTTCAAAATAAAAAGCCAAAAACAGAGGTGTCTGTGGATATGTATGTGCTTGTGTACCCACTGAAATTTGGGAGAATGATGCAAGAGAAGTCATTAATGACAGTATTTGCCTCTGAAGAGTGCGGGTGGAATGGGTCGGGGGTGCGAATGTTTTGTTTGACTCTTTTTACCCCTTTGTCCTGGTTTCTTCCTGCTATTGCGCATGTGTATCACTTGAAATGTCACCATGACAGGCACATGCATGGGATGTTAGGGAGCCCTGAGGACACCGAACCTTAACCCAAAGGGAAGGCAGGGATTAGGTAACCCCTGAGCTGAGACAGAAAACCAGGTGAAGAGATGGGGCAGGGGCGGTATTACCACCTGAATTGTGCGACCCTCCCTCCCTCAAATTCATGTTGAAGTCCTAACCCCCAGTGCCTGAGAATGTGACTGTATCTGGAGAAAGGGCTTTAAAAGAGGTGATTAATTTCATCCAATCTGACTGGTGTCCTTAGAAGAGGCAATTGGGACACGCATAGGACCATCAAGGGCTCATGAGCACAGAGGAGAGACCATGTGAGGACATAGCGACAAGGTGGCCATCTACAAGGCAAGAGGAGCACCTCACCAGAAAGCCACCCTGCCGACACCTGGCGCTTGGACTTCCAGCCTCCAGAACTGCATGTGCGGTTTAGCCCCCAAGCCAGGGTACTTTGTTATGGCCACCCTCGCAGACTGATACAGGAGGAGAGGGGATGATGAGAGCCTCTGACAAGGGCCCCTCCCGCCTCCAGGGCATACCCGAATGGGCAAGGGCTGGTGTGTGCAGAAGCCACAGCCCAGAGACCAAAGAGGCCTCACTGAGTTTAGAAGTCAGCAAGGAGCTCCGTGTAGCTGGGCCATCTGTGGGGTGGCAGCGATGGGACCCGGCTCCGCCAAGGACGGTGGTGAGGAATGAACCCGGAGAGTGCGCCAGGCCCAGGCCGTGGGATACCCATTTGCCAGGTTAATCTACTGCAGACAGCGAGGCACCTCGGAAGCAGGGCTGGGATTTGGGAGTGGAGTGATCTTGGGGGAACACCATCAGGGATTTAATGAAGGATAGGTTGGTGTGAAAGTAAGGGAGAAGGGAAGGAGACCAGTGTGCAGGCTGCTGTGAGACAGGCTGTGTCCTGCACAGAGGCATGGCGGTGCAGACAAGGCTTATTCAACTCCATCCATAATCCCCCTGTCCCCTACCCCCGACAGAAGATACTCAGAAATTGCTACTGAACAAATATGCATTTGAAGGGTCTCGGGGCCCTCCATGAGCCCTGCCTCCTGCGTCGCCCTCGTCCAACACACTCTCAACTTGGGCTGTAACCACCACAGCATTATTGAGCTTCCCCTTGGACAGCATACGTGTAGGGATGCACAGTTCCTCCATGGCTGGGGAGGGCTGATGAGTGTCGTCCAGCTAACACCCAGCCCCTTCTCCCCAAGTCAAGGCCAGCCCTGGTCAACCCACAAAGACTTGGAAGAGCATGGGAGAGGGAGGAGGCTCTGGGAAGCAGTAAACAGCTCACCTGTGGAAAACCCCATTTTCTTGTGGCACTTGGTAAATTCAATATTAAAATAGGTGACCAGGGCGTGGACATAGTCGTTGCGCTGTATCTGCAGGCAGAATGCAGATGTGAACGATAGCTCTTCCGTCTTCACTGTGTAAATGTCCACCTCCTGCAGCCCAGAGAAGAGACAATGCCAGGAACTTATTGCCTCCACCAGGTCTGGGTTCCGGTCAGCAGCCTTGCTCTACGAGAGACTGTGGTCTGCCGGCTCTCTAAGGGATATCATTATTCTTGAGGTGATTTCCCAGGCTCCCCACCACCCTCCAATCACCTCCTCCATCCTTTCAAGGGTGGAGTATGCTCAGGCAATGGTGCAAATGGATTGGAATCAAAACCTGAGGGGAGTAGAATTCCAAAGGTAAATCTGCTGGGATTTGCGGCTGTAGGGGTATGATGGGGAAGGGAGAGAGCAGGAGGGTTAATCAGATAATGTGTCCCTTCACCTGTCAGAGCAGCCTGGAGTGGTCCACCCAGGTATTGCTTCATCCATCACTCTTAAAATGTGGTCCCTGAAAGATCAGCATCAACAGTACCTGGGGGCAAAATCTGAGGGGAGCCGGACTGCTGCTTCAAAATAGCAATCTGTGTTTTTTCAGGCCCTCCAGTGATGTGGATGGACCAGACCACTCCTTCCCTAATTTTTTGATACTCAGGTTCCCAGCAATAGGAGGCATCAAGGATGATATTAGGAGTAAGGACCTGGGCCCACAAAGTCACAGACTGAGCTTAGGAAAGTTCTGCTGGCCATTTATAACAAGGCTGGGCTGTTTTCAAAAATAAATAAAAGGGGGAAATAAGAAGTGAGAATTTTCAGTTCTGGCTGGGGAATGTGGAACATGAAGAACTAATAACGCTAACAATTTCAACTGGAAAGTGGCTGCAAATCAATCTTGCATGGGGAGCAGCTGGCATTGAAAGAGGTCCACACTGTGCTGTTCTTTTCTATGTGAAGAATGCTGGCCTGCTGCTTGCTGGCCCTGGGAAGCAGGGCAAACCTACCAGAGCCCAAGAGGCAACCTGACAGATTCTAGTGAGGCCCGGGGAAGAACTTCCCATTGGTCAAGTTTGCATGGCAAGGATCTCTGTCCTGAAAACTCTGTAAGAACCAGAAGGCCATCTGCGTGCCTGGATGGTTCCACAGGGACTTCCTGAGGCCCAGAAGAAGGAACTGTTAGGAGGAATTAGGAGAGGGGCCGCAGGGTAGGAAAACAAGATGAGCAAAGCAATGAAGCGACACTGTAGAAATGGCTTTTGTCTCAATGTATTTCTAGGATAAATAAAGGAAAAACAGATGCAAAGTGTCTTGGGCCCTTCAAAGAGAAGTCCTGACTCCACCGAGGTGGAGGGAAGAAAAAGTGGTCGAGGGAACCAATCAGATCAGAGTCCCGCTGCTGTCGGTGCTGTGTGGGCATGACATCCTCTGCGGAAGCGGAAGCTCCCTGACTATTGATTGGGAAGAAGGTGAGGTTTCAGGTTTAGGGGAATGTGGGAGGTCCTTGGTGAGGTCACATTCAAATGCCAGTTACGCTGTGTTTCTAGAGCCCAAAGATGGGGAACAAGAACTAATTGAATGATGAGCCCCTGGTCAAGCACACAGAATTTAATGGGATTATAAAGCCCATCTTAAGATGAGCCTTTTATCCAGGCAAGATCCTTCTCTGTAGTAGCCACGTAGTGTTTGCTAATCATCACTAGTGCTTGCTGAACACTCATTTAGTGCTTGCTGATCACCCATCTAGTGCTTGCTGAACACCCATCTAGCGCTTGCTGATCACCCATCACCCATCTAGCGCTTGCTGATCAGACATCTAGTGCTTGCTGAACACCCATCTAGTGCTTGCTGATCACCCATCTAGTGCTTGCTGAACACCCATCTAGTGCTTGCTGAACACCCATCTAGTGCTTTCTCAACACCCATCTAGTGCTTGCTGATCACCCATCTAGTGCTTGTTGATCACCTCTAGGGATGGAGAACTCACTATCTGCCAGGAAGCTCAGTCCATGTCCTGGTATCTCCATTCTTTAGATCCTTCTTCAAAACTAATGAAGAAAGTCCACACTCGTCCCTCTGTAACTTCCACCTGCAGAAGAAGCCAAATGTCTGCTCCAACTCACACAGGTCCCTTAACCCTTTTCTTCTTCAATGTAAGCTATCTCTGGCTTTCTATTCATTCCTCATAAGTCATGATGTCTGATGCCCTCATCACCCTGGCCTTTCTCCTCTGGGTGGGTCCTGCCACTTGTAAAACTGAGTGTTACACTGACCGTATCAGGTCCTCCACTTCCCTTCCTTGGCACATACTTCTAGCAGCCTGTGTTCCCAAACAGCACACTGCTGGCTCAGCCTGCATTACGTCTGCCAACCCCTTCCTCCACCACATCCCTCAAGGCTAGGGGTCCTTCATTACACGTCACCTGTTAGTGCAGGCCGTTGCTCAAATCTAGGAAACAGTTTTAGACTGAGTATCTGTCAGCCTTCATGATGCTCATTATTCTTCCCAGCCACAGCCATATGGTGTCCACAGGTTTCCTCCAGCTCAAAAGCTCTTAGGACAAGCCTGGTTTCCTGTATTTTTGTTAATGGCATCAGAATGTCCACCCTCACTGACTTTTCCACCAAGTCAGGGCTGATCAGCCAGGCTCCAGGCCCTTTCCAAGGTCCCTGGTATCTTTCTTTCTTGGTTCCCTCTGTCACCTGTGTAGCAACTTCCGATCTCACTTCTGGCTCAACTCAGCGGCCTCCCCACCTTTTACCTTTGCCCCAGCCAGTACACTGGAACCCTTCAGTGGCAGAAGCTACACCTCATTGGCCTGTGTATCCTCAGTGCACAGCAGCACCTCATCCACAGCAATGTGTGTTGACTCATCAATCATCTTCCCAGAACAGGTCTCCCTGCTTGAAGACTTACTTCTTTGCCCAGCCCCTCTTTCATAACTAAGGTTCATCCAGACTGCGTCACTCTCTGGACTTATAACCTTCAATGACTCCCTATGACTTACATTGTAGATGTGGTTGCTTTCTCCTACCACTCCCCTCGCTTCTTCACCACTTTCAGCATGCACGTGCGCACGCACACACACACACACAACTCACCCCATCTAGTAGGAATTCCACCTCTAAACCTCTAAAGGATCTTGCTCAGATGTCCATCAACTGAATGTCAGCTATCAACTCTTGCGGCTGATGGTGTTCAATAGATCTCTCAGACATTTGCATCTTAATAGAGGCCTCTGATGGAACAAAAGCCTTCAAGACCAAAAGTATTGAAGCCACATATTATAATGGCAACAATAGAGGCAGGTGGTCTTTTGGAGTGGGGGTCCAGGCCATCTGTGAGGATGGGATCAGCTGCAGCTAGGCTTCAAAGACACAAAGTCCTCTGGGCTCAGGTCCCCCAACCCCCAACCGAAGTCTACAGATCAGCCAAGTCTACAGATCAACCTCAGTTACCCTGACTCCCTAGAGCCCAGCCCCCTTGGCTAGGAAGCTTCCACTTTTCCGCAGCAGAAACAGCAGCTCTGAGACCTCAGGGAGACCCACTGACTTGGCCTCAGGTGACCTGCTTGAAGCAGAGGGCTCCGCCAACATAAATTACTCAGAAGTGCCCCTGGCCGCTGCGATCCCCTCCACTAAATAATGTAACAAATGGATGTCTCTGAGCAGAAGTCTGGTCAAAATAGAGTCTTAATTATAATAAAGTGTCACACTCTGCGATGTTAATAGCAATGAAAACAGCAATTAAGTATGTGAAGAAGGGCAAGTGTTTTCCCAACAGGCTCTGCAAGACGTTGTTTAGCACATTAGCAGGAAAGAGCTGGTGGCAGGGCTCTCCTGGAAGCAGAAGCAATCACAGACAATCGGCATCCTTCTCAGGAAGATGGAGGAAGAAAGGGGCCAGCATGGGCAGGAAACCATCACAGATCGCGAGTCCTGAGACACAACCCCCAGAGCCCCGGGAGTTTTTATAAGGAGTGTGCGGAACACGCACCGCTTCAGCCGCTCTTTGGCTGCGTTGCCTCTGGATATACTCAGGTCTAACCAGGTGAAAGGCCCTGCTCATTTTTGCTCGGGGAGTGGAGAGAGCCAGGCCGGTCGCTGATGTATCCAGCAGGGCAAACAAAAGAGCAGTGGCCACACATCCAAGTAGGGGCTGGGTCAGAGGCAGAAAGCGACCTGGGGTCTAAGAACATCGAGAGAATTTTATCCCCAAGCTGAGGCCATTACATGCAGAGGCCTAATGGTACATATCACCGCCACGTGTCATTTTGGCCATTCAGTTGCACCAGTAGACGTCTGCCTATTCCGCGTTTACAGAAGTGCCTTGCACTATGGCTGAGCTTCTTGCTGGGGGCATACTTTCCTAACTCTTGTTTGGGATGCCAAGGAGGAAGAGGCTTGAGGGACAGAGGACAGAGGAATTGGTAGGAAGAAACAAAAGGACACATTTGTTCACAATGAATCCTACCTGGACCCAGAAAAGGCTGAATGAAGTAGTGAGGCCCCTGTGAATGGAGAGTCTGAGGCTTAGATTCAAAGCCACACCTCTCAGGCAGGATATTACTGAAGAGAGGGGCATCTGATGGATCTGATGAGGTCCATTCTAGTTTTATTTGCCCTGCGAGCTCCCTTCTAAAGGCCACAGTGATACTCCATCCCAACGGGTGTAGTTCTTCCTAGCAAGGCTTGTGTCCAGGGACAAAGGACAGTTCTCATGTGGACAGAGCGGCGGTTGTATCAGTCTTTCCAAAACTTCCCCTGATTCTCCGTAGCCCTGAACTCCTCTCCCTTCATCCTGCTATAAATATTCCAGCCGCCTGCCTTGATATTTTCAGAAAAACAACGATGCGTGCAGGAGCATAGCAGGCCAGCACATTAGCAAGAGGAGGGTCAAGTGAGCTGATTTTTAAATTTAAAAATTAGCCTAGGCCGGGTGCGGTAGCATGTGCCTGTCATCCCAGGCCTTGGGAAGCCAAGTGGGTGGATCACTTAAGCCTAGGAGTTTGAGACCAGCCTGGCCAAACCCCATCACTATTAAAAAAAAATAAAAATAAAAATTTGCCATGCCTGGTGGCACGCAGCTATAGTTCCAGCTACTCGGGAGGCTAAGGTAGGAGGATCATCCGAGCCTCAGTAAGCTGCAGTGAGCCATGATCACACCACTGCACTTCAACCTGGGTGACAGAGAGAGGCCCTGTCTCAAAACAACAACAAAAACAACAACAGCAAATAGCTTGAGCGACCTGAAACTGATCATTCGGTCGAGGCTGCCATGAGCTGTGATCGTACCACTGCACTCCAGCCTGGGTGATAAAGTGAGATCCTGTCTCCAAAAAAAAAATTGGCTTGGACCATGTGAAACTGATGTCTCTCTTTGTTTTAAGAAACAGTCAAGCCGGGCGCGGTGGCTCACGCCTGTAATCCCAGCACTTTGGGAGGCCGAGGTGGGTGGATCACGAGGTCAAGAGGTCGAGACCATCCTGGTCAACATGGTGAAACCCCGTCTCTACTAAAAAAATACAAAAAATCAGCTGGGCATGGTGGCACATGCTTGTAATCCCAGCTACTAAGGAGGCTGAGGCAGGAGAATTGCCTGAACCCAGGAGGCAGAGGTTGCGGTGAGCCGAGATCGCGCCATTGCACTCCAGCCTGGGTAACATGAGTGAAACTCCATGTCAAACAAAAAAAAAAAAGAAAAAGAAACAGTCAAATATCAATAGTTTTATATTGTTCAACATAGTATACTAGCATATAAAATGCAAATGCATACAAAAAGGAGCAGAAGAGGCAACCCAGCCCGTGAACAGTGGTTACCTCTGGAGGAGGATGGGGCTGGAGGGAGGCACGGGGCACCTTTCACCTTCACTGTGTCTAACTGGGCATGTTTGAATTTTTAATAATAAGAATGTACTAGGGATTGGTGTGGCAAAGATGCCGGCCACTGTTCTTCATCTGCACTTCATAAGGAAGCCTTGGGAAAAGGTGTTTAGAGCAGCAGTGTCTAATATTTTGGCTACCCTGGATCACATTAGAAGAAAAAGAATTGTCTTGGGCCACACATAAACTACACTGATGATAGCTAATGAGCTAAAAAAACTTACAAAAAAGTCTCATAATGTTTTAGGTTTACGAATTTGTGTTGGGTTGCGTTCAAAGTCATCCTGGACTACATGTGGCCCAGAGGACTCAGGTTGGACAAGCTTGATTTAGAGCAGGTACAAACAAGGATGCTCAGGAAGGGGCAGCTGGAAGCTCTATCTGGCAGGCTGCCAGGGCGGAGTTGTGCTTGGAAGCTGGAACATGATGATGATGACACAGCATATTGAGGTCCTGGATTTCCTTCCTAAGAGAGATGTCTACCACTGAGTAGACCAACAGCCCCAAACCCGAGCACGCTCTCCTCCTCTAGGTGTCCTCTCCTATGATGCCCTTCCCCTCCCTGCACCCCCACCCTCCCACACGCCACCAGAGCCCCTGTGCTGGACCCCTCCCTCATCCGTGCCACCATGGACCCACTCTCTCAGTGGCTGTGTCCAGGCAGACTGCCAGCTTTTGACTTGCGCTTACAGAGCACCGCAGGCTCTGGCCAAGGCGGCCTTGCCTCACCAGGTGGGGCTGTGCAGGAGCCGGTGCTGCCTGGACTCCAGGGTGGCACAGTGGGGCTCCCAGCACACCCAGCTCCGCCCCGGGTGAGTGTCCAGACCTTTATTAAACAGGCATTGGTCACCACTTGCTTTGGATCCACGATGTCCACTAGAGGTTCCTTCATGGCCACGTCCCGGATGCAGGTCATGTCAAAGCCATAGACATTCTCCCACCCTGTGGGAGCAGAGCAAGACGTGAAGGCAGTCGCAGGACCCCCAGAAGCTCACCCGACCCTCCTGTGTCCTAGAGCGCAGAGTGCCTGAGGGCTGGGTGGCAGCTGGCGTTCCCTGCATGGAAATAGAGGCAAAACTGCTCAACTGGAGGCACTTTGCAATGTGCCAAATGCTTACTCCCATTTCCCATTTCTACCTCTGGAAAAGGTAAGTCCCTCTTTGTCCTTAGGTAAACTAGAGCTCAGAGAGGCTGGGACGCTGCTCCAAGCTCCCACAGCTACAGTGCAGCAAGGCAAAGACTAGAACCCAGGCTAGCTGACTCTTCCTTCCTGACCCCTCCCCACCCCGGCAGCATCTCCTATGAACTCCCTTACCTGCCTTCTATGTTCCTATTCTTATGCTGGCTCAAACTGTTCTCCGCACCTAGAAGACCCATCTCCCTCCCTTTTCCTGTCCCTATCCACTGAAGCTTTAATGCAGCACAGAGAATAACGGGCTCTTGAAGTGAAATCGACTACAGTTTAAATCCCAGCACCACCACTTACTGGTCAGCCTTTGTACAAATGACCTAACCTCTCTGGACCTCAGTTTTCTCACCTGGATGGGTCCAGGAGCATCTCTGCCTTCTTCGTATGCAAAGATGCACTCACTAAGTATCTACTCATTAGAAATTACCCCCAAGTGGACCACAAATCCTCTCAACCATGCTCCTTGTCCTCTTTGGGCTTCTCATAAGATACTTTGTTTGGGAGGAAGAAAGATTTAAGGGTTGGTGAGAAATTAGTTCAAGTCTGATGGTTACACAGCATACTGAGTAACCAATTCAAGATCACCCTTAAATATGGTAATAATTGCTATCTTTTTTTTTCCTTGAGATGGAGTCGGGCTCCATTGCCCAGGCTGGAGTGCAGTGGCCCAATCTCAGCTCACTGCAACCTCCACCTGCTGGGTTCAAGCAATTCTCCTGCCTCAGCCTCCCAAGTAGCTGGGACTACAGGTGCTTGCCACCACGCCCAGCTAAGTTTTGTATTTTTAGTAGAGACGAGGTTTCACCATGTTGGCCAGGCTGGTCTCGAACTCCTGACCTCAGGTGATCCGCCCGTCTCGGCCTCCCAAAGTGCTGGGATTACAGTCATGAGTCACCATGCCCTGCCAATAATTGCTATCATTGATTGATCATTCAGTCCAGGCCAGACTCTTCATTTATTCTACCCAGCAATCACATTGTATGCTACAGATGAGAAAACCGTGGCTGGGAGAAGTTGGCATCTGGCTCACAAATAATAACTGGCCTGTGATCACACATCAAGGAAACAGTGGGACAAAGACTAAAGCCCAGCCTTTCCCCAAATCCTTCACCTGCCATGACCCAGCTGTGACAGCAGCCAGGAATGCAAGTTTTCTCTCCCTGCAGTGCAGAGAGGATGACCTTAGCAGACTGTTTAGTTTCTGGGCACCTGAATCTCACTCATCTATTTTTTCAGATGGGTTTCAAAATACCTTGAAGTAGAAATGCTTCTCTCTAAAATCTTACAGGATTAAATTTTATTTTAAAACGTTCAGCAAACAAACGGGACCTTAGGGAATGTATTTCCCCGTGTGTGTTTAGATTGGGTGTGTGCGGCAGGAGGTGTGAACGGTCAGTGACAGCTTTGCTCCTTTGACTCTGATTCTTTTCTAAGGCATACAAAGAGCTTCTTTCTTGGGAAAAGAAAGCAGAGAAAGTAATCCCAGAGGATGAGTGCTTATGAAATTCTGGTTTAAGACGCCCAGCGTATCCCATTAAACCACCTGAGGCTATGCCAAACTCCCAATTAAAACCTACTCTGGGGGGAGGAGGCTGCTTAGTTCGCAGCAGGGCAGGTTTCAGAGAAGACTCCCCTCTAGAATGTGGAGACAGCTATCCACCCTCTCTCCAGATAAATCATACACACTAAAACACGTTGCCTTCTGGGTCTTCCTCAAGAGACCTGCAGCTGTGCTCCTGCTCTTTCCTCCCTGGAGTTCGAGTTCACTGCTAGTGCTAGACAAAAGCTTGAGAGTCGATGTGTGTAATGGTTAAACGCCTAGGCTTTGGAGTTTAAATCTGAGCTCTGCCACTTATTTGCTGGGTAATCTTAAGCAAGAATGTAACCTTTCTGAGCCTTGGTTTCTAAGCATTTTTAAAACTGGAAATGATGATAATGACAGTGATCCCACAAGATTGTTATGAGGATTAAATGTGATAATATATGTAAAATGCATAAGACAGTGCCTGGCACACAGAAAGCACTTGACATATAACAGTGGTTATCATGATGTGGTTTGAGTTCTGGCTTTGCTGCCATGCAAGCTGTGTGGCCATGTGCAAATCGATCCTTTTCTCTGGGCTTGCTTATAAAATAAGGATTTTGGTTCAGTGGTTCTGAGTTCTAGAATCACTTGGAACCGTTTTTAAAATGCAGACTCCTGGGCCCACACCAGATCTACTGAATCAGAATCTCCAGATTGGTGTCCTCAAATCCCAAAATGGTGATCTTAATGTCTCATGGCCTTTGTGAAGCCTTCTCTAAACGCTCCTGACCACACCACCTCTCCTGCATCCTCAGCACCCATAGTACAGCATTTGGCACACAACAGGCCCACAGATAATGCTTCTTGAATTGAGATTCATTCCCAAACATTTAATGCCTGCACTGTTCTGCAATACCTGGTGTTTTAATTACCTTTATATGGGTTAATACAGGTCTTATTTCCTCAGCTGGGCTGCCCCACCCTCAATCATTCACAGCACAGATCACCCAAGGCGTTAGACTTTTTCCTCCTCTCTGCTGGCCATTTATTTCCCACTAACCCTTTTTACCAGAAGTGGAGCAGAGATGGAGTAGGATAGAAATCAATCATATTAATTATTTGTTGCAATTGTATATTGTTTGCTAAATGACTGCATGCGGGGTAAGAACTATTGGTCATCACAAAATATGATTATTATCTAGAAATCAGAGAGGCCTGTGAAGCTTTTCTTAGTGGATGAAAACAGACTCCTGAAAAGGACTGTACTATGGTGTATGTAATTAAAGCAATGACAAAGCCCAAATCTACTAGCCCAAACAGACTAGATTGACTCACACCCTCATTCTAATAGCCCAGGAGAGCCAACGCTGTTTTCTGGGCATAGATGTGATTCTCTACTGGTCCTTTATGTGCTATGTCCAGCATTAAGGAAAAATTATAAGACACATGAAAAAAGGAAAAAATGTGACCTATCATCATAAGAACAAAAGTCATAGAACCAAACTTAGAGATGCTCAGATGTTAGAATTATCCAACAAGACTTTAGAGTATCTATACTAAGTATGTTAAAGAAACTAGCGGAAAAGGTGGACAACGTGAATGAATGAATGGAGAATTTCATTAGTAAGACCGAAACTTTTTTAAAAAACCAATGGAAATGCTAGAAATTAAAATAACAATATAAGAAAAGAAGATTTTTAAAAATGAACTTGTTAACAGAATGAATATATCAGGAAATAATCAATAAAGTTGAAAACAGGGCAATAAAAATGATCTAAACTTAAAGAGAAAAAAAGTGAAAAAAAATCAGAGGATCCAAGTTCCATGGGACAATAGCAAACAATATCTCATATAATGGGAGCTCCTGAAGAAGGGGAGAAAGAGAATCAGGCAGAAAAAAATATTTGTAGAGATACTGGCTGAAATTTTTCTAAACTAGTGAAATAATCAATCCACAGATCCAAGAATTCCATGTGACCTCAAGCAGGATAAATAAAAAGAAAACCACACCTGGACACATCAGAGCCAGACTGCAGAAAATCAATAAAGGGAGAAATCTCAAAGCAGCCTGAGGAAAAATAAATTAAGTACCAGGGGAGAAATGTGACTTCTGATTGGAGAGAGCTGTAGCTACGATCTCCCTCACACCCCGGCCCCAACCAGCTGAGTTTCCCTGATGAGGCTAATGGGACTGCCTCAGAATGAGGTCAGAGAAAAATATAACAGGGGCCACCAGATGCTACTTACAGATTCTCCTCTGTGCAGAAGGGGAAGTGTTTACAATAGATGGACATATTTTAAGCTCTCGGGAACAAAGTGGAATCCTTATATAAAATGGGCTAGAGCCAGAGGAAACTCTGGATGTCATGATTGGAAGTGAAGCCCACAGACAACAGCTGAGCCATCGAAGAGGGTTGCGCGTCAATCATGAAGCTATAAGCCCTGCCACCTCTGCATGAGGTCTTTCTTTCAGCCTTCTCATCAGCCAAGAAACTGGTGTCCATCTCTCTCATTCTCAGCAGGGTGTCGATTCATGCACTGGGTGCAATTCATATATTGTGCATGAAATTGAATAAATTATCCATCAAGTTTCCTTCTATTTTTTTTAATTCTGTGAATCTCCTTTATAGTAGAAAATGTTTATAAAATGACTGCTCCTCTCTAAGAGTTAAATTCTATACCTTGCCCATCCCTCTGCTGGTTTGCTGTTATTCCCTCATTCATTTGTTCATTCATTCATTCAACAAAATTATGTATTGTGAGCTTAGGATGTGCCAGACATTTGCCTTTCTCTATGTGGTCCGTATTCATTGGTGAGCAAATGGAGGACAGGTTCTACATTGCACTCATTCTTGCACCCCCATGTTGCTGCGTGTGGTTGAGAAAGAAAAGAAAAAGAAAGGAGGGGAGGGAAGGAAAGAAAAGGAAAGGAGAGGAAAGCTTTCCCTCTAACAATTTACTTTCTGAAACAGGCTGAGCATGTCTCACTCTCCTGCCTCACTTCAAAATGTTTCCTTCTTAGCTGGTTCTTGAGCCAATGGAAAACTGCTTACAATTGTTGCCTCAGCAACCAGCAACCTTTATGCTTTACTTCTGATTTAGAACCCCTAGTAACAAAAAGCTCCATTTATTTGAAATGAATGTCTAAATGGGTTTGCTTCCTTTACTAAAAAAAAAAAATAGATTATTTTAAAAATGTAAATAGAAAACAGTATTTTAAAGAAATTTAAAGTATCTGTTTATTAGTATTCTTTTGGGGTGGGGAGGAGATTGGGGTATTTTTCACAGAGACTCTAGAGCAGGCACAAGAAAAAATGGGGTTGACTTTCAGATTTTTTTCCTTTTCCAGAAGCTACGAACACTACACTGAGAATCAAAGAAATAAATCACATGATCTCCAGTCTGGGGCCAGTGCCATAGGAGCCTCTCCTGGCCCCAGGCTGGCTCATTGCAATGCGCATTCCTGCAGAGGTTCCCAACACAGGTATCTCTGTTGAGGAAACCATGAAGAAGTATCTTAAAGAGGTGTGCCTTGGGTTGGTGCTCAATAAATATGTAAGTGAACGTGAAAGAGAAGAATGTACCTAGAAGTTTTCCTCCTCCAAACACTATTCAGTACAATTGCTCAGCAAGAACTCCAAAATGCAGCTCCAGGGCAAAATGTGTCCTATTTATACATGCATTTGATCAACACTCACTGTTGAGTTGTGTCTGCAATCTTCTATGAGAGTACATCTGTCCTAGATTCTGAGCCACCAGGGGCTTGGCAGTCAGGCTCACTTGTCAGAGCCAGGGGCAAAAAGGGGCTTAGCTATACAGTCAGAGACTAGATCCCATCTAGTCCCCTTATAGGACCAAGAACTGTCATGTCCTTTAATATACGTCATCTCACTTAATCCTCATGACAAGTCTGTGGGATTGAGAAGATTATCCCTTAACTGAGGCTCAAAGATATTAGATAATTTGCTCAAGGTTACACAGTTAGGAAATGACAAAGGCAAGATTTAAACCCAGGGCTGGCTGCGTGCAAAGCAGTTAACCCGGGCCCCCCTGCCTCTCACTGTCCTCATTTGGTATTTTGCCTCCTTCCCCCGGGAGGTCAAATAGTAGAAATCACACCAGATTGGCTGGAGGCAGACAGCAACCAGAGAGGGTTTCCAGGGCACAGAGCTTCAAACAGCTGCCCCACTTTTGTCTTCTTCTGAACCTGGCTCTGAACTTCACACTTTGATTTTATATTTCCAGAAGGGCATGAACCCACACAAATACACACATTCCATAGCAGAGTCCAGCCGAGTTTTCATCAGTGCCACTAACAACCATTAGATGGCAATTGTTTAAATCCACGGAGCTTCCATTTATTGAACTGTGGATGGAGTCTTAGCCCCTTGCGGAAGGAGGCATTTATTCTTCTATTCAATCTGTGAACCCCTCCACAGTCATCTTGCCAAGTAGAAATGGACCACCTTTTTGAGGCAGGAACCCCAGATGTGCCCAGTCTGATGGACAGGTTGGAGCTTCTGCCTCTTGCTTTAATTTGGATTTTTGGGTGCTTGCCTGTTTGAGGGGTTCTTTGCTCCTTTGTTGTATTTAGTTCTGGTTGAGGAGACACAGCCATGTTCAACTTTACAAAAACATGTTTGGTATAATCTCGTTAAATATCAGGCCTGTGTCACAGAGAAGTGTTACCCTTTATGAGAAATAGGATAACAGCCCTTTCAGACCAGATGAAACATGGGAGAGGTTTTTTGGCTTTCTTGTTCTAGGAGAACCACATGCTCTGAGCTGATAACGCATTAAGAACACACATTTAGGTAGGAGCCCTTGCCTTATGCACACATGCACATGTACACTTGCCTTTTGTTTGATTGTTCAAAGCAAAATCTCCACTCCTTCCCACCCCTTCTGCTATCTATTCCTCAAACGAACCTCAAAGAATATGTATTTGGATGTGAAGAAGAATCAATATTATTTTGATACGTTTGAGTGGAATGAAGGCAGGATGCAAAATAATGGGCCTGGCTAGAGATCTGCCACTTCTGACACCTGCGGTGGACTTTTGGGAGAACTGAATCTTGACAGGTTTCAAGCTACTTGCCCTGCTGTTCTCTGCAAAAACTCAGCTTCTGCTGCCTCAGTTCAGTTTTTAATTCACGTTGCATTCATCCTTTCACCCCAGGACATTTCCCTTGTACAGCCAAATGGCTTATTTTCTCTCTGTAGACCTCTCATCCTTGGGACTAGATAGAAATATCTAGAAAGAAGACTCCAGGAAGAGCCCCAGGTAGGCTTCTCCCCGGGACAACAATGGTGTTCATGTCACTGCCTGCTTGTCTTGGGCCCCCTGGAGTGCCTCCCACCCCAGCTGTGGAGTGGAAGTCCGCCAGAGAAGCAAGAGGGGACTTACAGTGGATTTTGAAGTCCTTGTACTGTCTGTCTTCAATCGCTACCACGTACAAAGCTGCCCGGTCTGGAAACATAAGCCCTCCAGGTTTCTGTTGATGAATTGTGGGGAAATGGGTCTCGTAATCTATTCACCTGACAAAGACATCACATTTTGAACTGCACATAGAGTCACCAGACAAGCACCCCCTTGCCAGCATCTCTCATGCAGTGGACTGTCACCTTATCTGGGGTCAGGGCTAGGACAGCAGTGCTCAATGTTTGTTTTGGAGCGAGGAGAATTTAAGGGACCTAGGTGGAGTCAATAGGACCAATGAAAGGGGGTGAAGGTAAATCCAATAAGGAGCAGTGAGGGATGTTATGACTTTGACCTGGAGAAGCCCAGATGAATAGCACACCCGGCTCTGGTAGCCATGCAAGTCCTAACTACTCGTTGACCAAAATGGCCTTTTAACTTGACAAGAGAGAATGGATGCCTATTATTGCAAAAGAGGCTGAGGTGAGACCCACAGAAGTCCACTCTGATGGTTACACATGTTGGACCCAGGGCGACCATTCCATTCCCTGATGCCGATCTGCTCTCAAGAGGGAGGCCTGGGGCAGTGACCTCCTAGCCTCAGTCCTCTCTGAAGTCCTCGTACTCCTCCTAGGCTTCAGGCCTTGGGTAGAGCAGCAGGACAGCCGGCCAACCAACGCAGGGACAGCATGCAGGACACTTACCAGCCACTTGTCCCTGGCAAAGATCACCGTGTTGAGCATGGACTCATAGAACAGACAGTAGCCCATCCACTCGCTGATGATGATGTCCACCTTCTCCACAGGCAGCTCCACCTCTTCCACTTTACCCTTAAATATGGTGATGACTGGAAAATAAGAACCCCAGGGCCATGCTTTGCAGGGACCCCACCCGGGAACCACAAGCACCTCCGTTCAAGGCCAGATCTCCAGGTTTCAGCCCTGTTCCAATTCTACTTTTAGGATGTGACGTAGCCCACCCTTCGCCAAGCTAGTTTATACCAACATAATTGAAAACTACCTGCATGTTTCCCCGTAAAAGAAACTGAGTCATGACTATGTGCCTGGTACAGCGCTAAGCCCATTATATTCACATTATCACGTCATCCTTCCAACAACCCTACGAGGTAAGAATATTACAGTCGGCCCATGAACAACATGGGTTTGAACTGCACAGGTTCACTAATATACAGATTCTTTTTAATTTAGACTAAGTGTGCCTGCCTCACCTTCCACCTCACCAGCCCTGTCAACCTCTGCCACCCCCGAGACAGCAAGGCCAACTCTTCCTCTCCCTCCTCCTCAGCCTGTTCCATGTGAAGGCAATGAGGACAGAGACCCTCATGCTGACCCATTTCCACTCAGTGAGTAGTGAATGTATTTCCTCTTTCTTAGGATTTTCTAAACAGTTTTCTTTTCTCTGGCTTACTTTATCGTAAGAATATAGTATATAACACATATACAAAATATGTGTTAATTGACTATGTTATCAGCAAGACTGCTGGTCAACCGTAGGCTGACAGTAGCTAAGTTTTGTAGGAGTCAGAAATTATGCTTGGATTTTTACCTGTGTGGGGAATTGGCACCCCTCAGCCCTGTGTTGTTCGGGGCCATCGGTTACTTTTGTTTACAACGAAGGAAACCGAGGCTTAGAGAGGTTGAGTAGCAACAGTGGAAACAGAGCCCAGATCTGATATGACATGATTCTAAAACTCTTCTCAAGGCCCCCACCCTATGTTAGGTAACCATGACAATTCAGACCCAAAGAAAGCATAGATGCCTCTTCTACTGCCTTTGCATCTGTTCGCAGCCAGGCTCAGTACCAAATGGGTGCCCTTCCAGTGTTTGTGAGGGAGGCATTTGATGTTTTGGTGAGAGCATGGGTTCTGTAGTCAGGCAAACCTAGGTTTAAGTGCCAGATCTTCTCACTATGAGTTGTATGACTTTAGACAAGTTACTTGACCTAACTAAACTCCAATTCCCAAGTGCACAGCCAGGAAAAGCAATATCTATTTAGAGGGTGATTGTATTGATCAAATGAAATGACACATGTGAAGGGCCAGGCTCATAGCTGAAGCTCAACAGAAGGTAGAAATCATCTGACGTATTCCTGCTTGTTGATCCACAGATGGAGAGGGGAAGGGGATAGGGCCAGGGTCAAAGCCCCTGTCCCCAGTGGCTTCTGCTTATGAGTCGCCTCCAAGACCTGCGGTTTCCTCTGTGGCAGGAGATACTTCTTAGTTGAGTTTTTGATCAAGACATGCACATAATTTTGGAGTCCCTTTTTGTATTTGTTGCTGTAAAGATCTGAGCAAGCTAGTTTAGATACCACTGTTAAATTGGGAGGCTGATGTACCGGTTGGTTGGTTCTTTCTGAACATTTCCTTGGAAAGGTTAAGTATATTCATCCTCTGAAACTTTCACTCTGTAACGTCCTCTGAAGAAAATCACACAATGCCTGAGCTTGCTGAGAAAAATAACAATGGCCTGTACTTATGAGTAAAAATCAAAAGAACCATGTCTGCCTAGGATCTGAGTTTCATGAAAATTAATTTGGACTGGAGGCTCCTGGATGGCAAAGGACACACCACTTGCTGGCTTCATTTAGCGTCTTCACAGTGAATAATGCAGGCAATAGAGTGTCCATTAGTAGCTTCTAATGACAGTTTATTCTCCACTATGCGGTATTTAATCAAGCTTTTATTGGATGCAGCCTCCTTTACAAGGAGTAAGACACTTTGTACACATGCACTGACCCGGATCACTCTACAGTGAGGCTCAGGCTTGTGTGCCCTGCTGATTGGTTACTGCTCATCAGCCCCTACCACTAATAAATGCGAGTGGGAAGAGCTAGTCTCCAAAAGGGCTGGAGGGGGTGGGGGAGGCAGGTGTTAAAGTTTCTCTGGGCCTCAGAGGCCCCAGGGCAGGAACTGAACTGAGAGCAGGGCCCAGGGTGCACTAAGAACATTCATAGCGGGGCAAAGTAAAGGATTTTTAAAAATGCAAACATTGTGCCTAATTTATTCCTTATTTTGAAAAAGAACTGACAAATATATGCATGACTCACCTGCCTAATTATTTGCATGCAAAGCCTGGCTTGTTTTATAGTGCTGTAAACTTAAAAATTGTCTTTAATGGCCTCCCTTATTTTTTTTCTTTTCCATGTTTCTCGAAGGTTCTTCCCTAATGTCTGCCTGTTGTATGTGTGGCTATGGGTCAGTTCCTCCTCCTGCATTTACATCATGACCTCCCTGAATCCCCAGAAGATGTTTTTTCCTGCCTCTGGGGCCTCATGACCTCCACCCTGAGTGTTTAGTACAAGGCTCCACCCATGACTATTTTCGTGGCAAGGACTCTATTAGGAGCTGCAGGAAACAGACAAACAGTAATCCATTATCAAGTCTAACAAGCAAGTATGTATGAAATAGTCCTCGGGTGTCCCCCAAAGAGGGTTATCGCAGTTCATCTTCTCTGTGTTAGCCCTCTTATCTATTAGTTGCTGTATCCTCATCAATACGGATTACAAGAGATGATTGATAGATGGGTAGATGATATAGAAGATAGATAGATGATAGATAGATGATAGATAGATAGATAGATACAGTGGATCACAGAATAGCAAAATTACAGTCTCTGCTTGCAAAAAGGGAGACGGAATCAGTTAACCCTATAAAATCCTCGACAGTCTGGACTTCTGTTCTCTTAACATTACCCTTCTACATCTATTCAAGGGCAAACATTTCTCAGTGTGGACGTGGCCACACGCTTGGCTAGATGAGGAGATGAGCTCTTTGTTAAAAGAAAAGAACACATCTCCCTCAATCCAGTGCTGGACTGGCTTTGAGACCCCATTTATCTCCTTTCTCTGGTGCTTCTATGCTCAACCTGTGCAACTTGATGCTGGAATCCTAAAAGGCAGCAACTTATGCCCTTGTCCCAGCTGACAGCTAATCTCAATCAAATATCTCCTCTCTTTTGGGGCCTCAGTTTCCTTATTAGGAAAATAAAAAAGAAGGGAGGTTGAATCTGAAATTCTTTCCAGTGCTAGAGAGCTGTGGTTCTTCAAATATGTACTGAGCACTTGCTATGTGTAAGGCATTCTGCAAGATTCACTGGTGGAGACAGCAGCCACCAATAAAAAAAGATGGTGCCTGCAACCAGTTTGACTGTCATTTGCGACACTTTCCGGGTCTATTTATTTTTAAGAGGTCACGTTGTTTCTGTGCATCCAAATACAACTGTCCAGCTGAATCACCGTGGATATTCTTCCTGTAGTCAGTAGTCACCACCAGCAACCACTTAAACTTCCAGATTCCATTTCCCAACCTACAAAATATTGCCTTTCCTGGTGGGGCTTATGCTAACTCACGGAGGGGCTGCTGGCCAACATAGGAAATTAGGCTGGGTCAAGGAACTGTGTGGGCACACACAGCAGCAGTCATCTCTTCTCCTCCATGCAAGGGATTTTCAAGGTGGTCTAAACTATTGACACTAAGACTCTGAGCAGCCATAGGTTACAGAGCTCGATGGCCGATCTGGGCCCCACATCACTAAAACTGCATCAGCTCAAAGTTGCATTCAGGTCACTGTCCAGATCCATGTTTTTATTCCATAAAGATGATGGGAAGTTTGTTCAACCAACTGTGACAGGACCCTGGCTGGTAAATTTTAGAATGATTAATCGTAACTAAATGCATAGCAGGGAGCAATAGACTCTAAATTGGGAAAATTTCCCATGTAGCTTCAAGTGTGCAAGTTAGACATCCAGATTTTTAAAGACGGTTTTGAGTGGAATTTTTTTTCTTTTTGGTTTGAGTGGTTCTCACAGAAATCTAGTCATTCTTATTAATGGTCATTTTTGTGTTCAAACAAATCAGGCCAGCCCAACCTCGTTTGAGCCTCTAGAGCATCCATCAGTCAGCTGACTCCCTTAGGGTCTTAAGTTAGTGATCATTTTTAGGGTTCTCACTGTTTTGGAAAGCAGATCCTGCCCCACAGAAGAGTAGGCATGAGGGTCACGTGTATGGGAACAGGGTGCACATGATAAGCCTGTGAAATCCCCTGAGCCCCCACCAGCCTGACTGCAGCAAAGCCCCCCACTCGCCCTCCCCACTCCCTTGGTCCTTGCTCACACACCTATTTTGGTGACACCCACGCTGGCTGCCTCACACCTGCAGAGGGCCTGGCTCACCTCCAGTGTGTTCATTCTTTTTCTTCGTTGTCTATTTTAGCTTCCTATTTCCAGGATCTAGCTGAGCACTTGACTCCTCACAAACATTCAAAATCATTACTGAATGAAACGGATGGATGAATGAGCAATTTCAAAGAAAAAAAAAAGGGCATCGGTTAAGAGACAAAAGATATTCAAACTAGTCTTAATTGTGACAGTAAAAAATTACTAGCATTTGAATAGCAGCTTCCAGAGTGATTTTCCATATGTTACTTCAGTGATCCTCCTTGGAACTTGTGTGGTTGGTTCTAGTATTCTTTTTGCCTAAGGAGAGAACTGGCGTTTAGAGAAGTCAAGCTGTGGAGGCAGGACCTAGGCCCGTTGTGCATGTTGGTGCCTCCCCATGGTTCCTTTCCTTCCCCGGCGAATGGGTGCACATCTGACCTCCCTACCACCTGCGATTCTTGTGGACTTGGAGCAACTGCGTGGGATGTTGAGAGAAAAGAAATCAGAGAAGGTAAAGGACTGACCTACCCTTCTCCTGCAGCTGGTCAGGTTGGTTGGCAGGTTGAGAGGAGATCTAGCCATGGAGAGCAACCAGGGTGGGTCAAGAGCTCCCTTGATGTCAGCCCCTGCCTTGCCCTGCCGCCCTCTCCTCCCCTGGAACCTGGGTGCATG